AACAATTACAATTCAAATACAGTAGTCAAGCAAGACTTGACCTGTAAGTTGATGGGCGGGTGGCATGCATGACCAACATAACTCTGCATTAGAGCTGGCAGATCACCCCCCCCCCCTCCTACCAGATCATGCTGGATCCATCCCTGCCACCATGACTGTTAGTGTTGGTGCTAATTAAACAGTGCAATCTTGAATGGTCTGTACCAGGCTAGAAAGAGACGATAACAAAATAACTAGATATAACTTAGTACCTCAAAAATTCAAACAGAACTTCACTCGAAAAGTCAATAATTTGTACATTCCGCATGGATTTTCAAGCTCTGTGGATTATGGAATATAAACTAGGCTGTTATTACAATTTTCAAAATTGAAGTTGAAAGTGTCAAAAATTTCTTAGCTTGGCCAATCTATTTTTTACTTTTAAAGCATAATTCACTGAAACATATAGATATTTATAATTTAAACTATGTTTGAGAAAAATTCTGTTATAAAATCTTTTTTCAGATTAATCAGGTAAAGAGTAAGATACCTGGCATATCAGAATATAAGTTCTACCAACCAAAAAGAATAAAAAGATCATAAGACAACAATAGAAATTATAGAATATAAACTCCATTTGAACTCCACTCCTTAGCTTGGCGCCATATTGAATTTCGCGGTCGCGCTGGTAAAGGCCTGGGGACTAGGTGCTCTACCGTATCTGAAATAGCCTTCACCATTCCGAAAGATGTCGATTTCTTCAATTTTCGAAGAAGAAATACTCGAAAACTGCAGGTTTTGGGAAGTGCAAACAAGCGGATTTGGACTTTGTATAATTTTTCCTAATTATTTATCTTGTTTCAAAGTAGTGCCCGAACCCGGGCAACGGAATTCGTTTTCTAAGCGACTTTTCGTGCCACAGAATACGGCCTAATAGCTTGAATTGACACAACTACTCAGATTAAATATAGTAAAATTGTCCAATTTTGATTTTGCGATTATCTGTCGCTTTGGCGAGTGATTTCTGGTTTTAGAGTATCATAAGATAGAATGACTTTGCCTTTGTCGATGCTGTGATTTATTTCGATTTTTCGCAAAGAATTATTTCTCCCCAGTGAATTATTAGAGCTACTTGCCTGATTTAAATTAGGCTTACTAGTACTGTGCCAAGATAGTGCGTAAATATGAATAAAAGAATGTCGATACCCAATTAATACATACTCAAAATCCAAGCTTCAGATACACGAAATTTTGAGAGAAAAGATCAAGATGAAAATGAACAAATTTTCATCATTTCTGGTTGTGCTTGTACTCTATAATTATTTACCACTGTGAAGGTAGCCGCGGATTTGGCCTCAATTTCGGCCTCAGATTCGGCCTCGGATTGGGCCTCACATTCAACTGTATTCAATCATTCAAAAGTAGATTATTTGAACCCCTTTTCTTGGCTACTTTTAAGGTATTTTTTACTGTAAGTTAGCAGTAATATCAGCAATACAACTTGTCTATCGTATGCTGTGCACACAATAGGAAAAGAGGCTTATTTGTGGGAGAAATTGACCATTTAAGACACTGCCATTTACTTGTCCAATTTTATATGTTACAGATTAATAAACTTTCGACATTTGCCGTAATTTAGCAAACGTGGTAATATTAAAATTTAAGTATAATGTACATACGCCATACTGCTTCCACGAGTAATAACAATAACATGGCACAAGCACAAAAACCTCCGATTTTTCATGATATGTAACACTTGCGAGAATATGGATATGTTCCAGTATACTTTACTAAGTCCATATTATCGCAAAAATTATGGCTACGATTCATATAAAGTGGATTAACAGTGGAAAGAGTTACCCTCTTTCCAATACAGAACATAATTAATAACAGCAGAAAACATTCCATTTTATATGAGACGTATCACTGTGCGAAACCATCATATATATTGTCATGTATAAAAGGTCGTTCCATCTTCAGCCACGATTTAAAGGTGGGGTTCTACCTGAAACTACTTGGAAAATCGATTTTGGGTTTTTAATCAAAATAGCTTCTTTAACATCTAAATAATGTTGTTAGGATATATTTTGAGCGTTATCTTTACAGTAAACCCTTTAAAAAGCGTTTTATATATGGACAGTCATTTCTTTCAAATTCGTTGCCATGGCGACGAGAAGAAATACCATTGTTTTTACCCTATTTTACTGCTGTTATTTTGTCCCTCCCCTCCCTAGATTCAAAAATACGATGCAGGCTCACTTTTGGAAGCATCTAGCAGCGGTTACACATTTATACCATGCGTTTCTTGAGCATATTTCGGTGCTGAAATTTTGTATTTCGATTTTGACCTTCTCTGTTGTTATTAAATTGTAAAATCACTTCGTTTTTCATCGGTTTCTTTAAAATATGGCTAGAAAGAAACCTGGTAGTAGGCATAAAAAGAAAAGGAAGGGTTTTTTTGGAGTGCGGCCGTGGGAAAAAGCCGAGGACGATACTGTTACTGTTGGTGAGACTGAGGGAAGTCAAGCGACTGATGAAGATAGTGCTGCTACTGAGCAACTATCTACCCCTATTGGTGCTTCTAGACATAAACTCAGTGATCGAGGTTTTTCAACGGATGACTCTGAAGGATTCAGTGGCGTTGATAATCAAAATGACAGCAGAAGTTATAGACTTGTTGACGTGAATCTTTTGTCTTCCACACTGTCAGAAGTCCATAAATGTCCTGAAGGTTTGTTACAGTTCTATGTTGTTTAAAGATAAGTTTGTTACATTGCAATAGAATTATATTATTTTGATGCTTTTGTGGATTCTTTGTTATCTAAATTTTAATGTGTACTAGCATTTGACCAAATCTTTATGTTAGAGATTGTTAATTGTGCATACCACCGGTAATCCATTTTAGGTCAACTTGGTCTTGTAGAAAATGCTACTGCAAGGGCTGGTCTGATGTCGGATTTCACAATTGAGTGCTCTGCTTGTGACAATTCTACCAGAATGCAAACATCAACATCAACAGTGTCCAAGGGCCGATCATTTGATGTCAACCGAAGAGTGGTGTACCATTCCTTGGAAACTGGTGGCGGCTATGAAGCGCTGTCATCATTTTGTAGCGTCATGAATATGCCTTGCATGTCAAAACAGGCCTACTATAAGCAAGTTGATGTTATTCTTGAAGCACAAGAAAGTGAAGCTCTGGCAGAGTTGTTGAAAGCTGGGGAAAAATTGAGAAACCTCCTCGATGTGGAGAATGATACTGATTCTTCATTGGACGAAGATACTAACGAGGACAGTAATGACCCTCTTGATGTCACTGTTAGTTTCGATGGAACGTGGGCAAAGAGAGGATTCACTTCACTGTTTGGTGTTTTCTTTGTTATGTCTGTTGATACCGGAGAGGTATTGGATTACCATGTGTTCTCTAAATTTTGTCAAAAGTGTTCGAAGAAAAAGAACGAGTGCAAAGATGATTTAGAAGAATTTGAAGCATGGAAAGCCGAGCATATTACTAATGGAGAATGTGACATAAATTTCGAAGGAAGTTCCCCTGCCATGGAAGCTGAAGCTGCACAAGTTCTCTGGAATAGATCTATTGAGAAACATAATATGAGATATAAATTCATGGTATCTGATGGGGACAGTAAAGCATACAGCGCTGTAGAGGACACCTATGATGGTGTTAAAGTTGAAAAAATTGACTGTGTTGGTCATGTGCAAAAACGGATGGGGAAGCACTTACTGAAATTGAAGAGCTCTACCAAAGGGAAGTTAGATGATGGTAAAACCATTGGAGGAAAAGGAAGATTGACTGATGCCAAAATAAAACAGTTACAAAGATACTATGGCCTTGCTATTCGCCAGAATATTGTCACAAAGCCAAACGCAACTGACACCGAGGTTAACGTTGCTGTTTACACCATGAAGAAGAACATAATTGCAACATTGAGCCACAATGTGAAAGCAGAAAGTATAGAAGCTCAACATCGATACTGCCCACCTGGAGAAAATTCATGGTGTAAATGGCAACAAGATAAGGCAACTGGAACAAAGACCTACAAGAACGACAACTTGTTACCATCAGTTTTCCTGGATGTTTTGCGGCCTGTATTTATGACACTCAGTGAAACAAATCTTCTTAGTAGATGTGTCAGAGGTGCCACTCAAAACCGAAATGAATGCATCAACTCTTTGGTTTGGATTCGTTGTCCAAAACATAAATTTCATGGCAGGAAAATAGTTCGGTTTGCAGTAGCATCAGCCGTATGCCACTACCATGGTGGTGCAGTTTCTAGGACAAAAGTGATGGAGAGACTGTCTACACCAGGAGGGCAGCATACAGAGAAGTCTTGTCATTCTAAGGACAGGAAAAGAGTGGCTAAGTCAGACCTGCAGGTATCGGAAAAATGTAAACGGCGCCGTGAAGGAGTTCAACAATTGAGAACACAAAGGGAAGAAGCTTTAAGGGATGCAGAAGGAGTGACCTATGAGGCAGGAGGATTCTAGAAGCAACTTTGTATTCAGTGGCAAGTACAGAAAGTTTGAATATCCCATTAGGGCCACTATATTGAATATTTATGTATTTTACACATTGTTTTTCCATGTCGAAACTTTAAATGTAGATTTCTCGAACATGTATATTTTCGACTCTGGGTTAAGATATCTTGGCAACGGTTAGACCAATCTGGCTGAAATTTTCAGTGTTGATAGAGCTCACTTTGGTGAGTAAATTGAGTAATAGAATTTGTCATAGGGTATAATGCAACCATTTGGGAAAGGAAAATATGTCAAAATTTTCCTCATAAATTTAACCAATAGTTTGGAATGATTTTGCAAAAAAACTACTTGCAATATCAAAAATGCCATTACTTAATTTAATCTACCTCCTTTGTAGTGCACAAAAAGCACATAAAAGTAGACATGAGTTAAAACCATCAAGAGATATCTTGAACCCAGCATAAGGCAATTTTGGTGAAGAATGGTTAGATTCAAAGTATGCTATAATCGTAAATATATGAGGTATGGGAATGAAATTAGTATATTTGAACTCCTTGTCTAATAAGCTTTCTAGTGACATATAGTTTTGTGCAGTTAGCACAAACAGATGGCAAGTAATAGGTTTGTGAAATGGGAGAGTCCGAAAGCTGTCATTTCAGGTAGAACCCCACCTTATTAAAATTTGTGTCCGTTGGTGGTGAAACTTGCGGGCGGGCGGAACGTAGGTTTGTTTTCATGCTAGCTTTTGATGGCATGCAACATGTACGCACTGCGTACCTATTTTTATAGGCAGGGTGGTGATATTTGTTAAATAAATTATACTATTCAGTTTTCTATCCCTGATGAGCACTAGTCAAACTGATTTGATACCAAACAAAATGTTCCATATAGGTTTCATTAGACTATAATATTTAAATAGTACAGTAAAACCCTGCTTTACAAAAGAACCAGTTCAGACTAGAATTCCAAAACAACTCCTTATTTTATTGGAGAAGCAAAAAATTAAACATCAATTAAAGAAAATAAGCTCTTTATAAAAATACTGTTATTTTGAAGATAATTTGTGCATAATTGTATATGAATATTATAACATACTGTACCTACTGAAAATAGGTCACTTTCTTGTAAACATCTACGGTAGGTTCTTATACGATGGGTTCTTATACGATGGGTTTTACTGTATGTTAGCTTAGTCATTAATTTATTCAAATATTTTATCGTCCTCCATTTCAAATCTGGTATATGATTCATCTTTTGTGAGAGGGAATTTCTTCCTTATTGCATGGTATGCACATGTGGCAGTGGGATTCTTGTTTTTTTCCGATTACACCTTGTAAACTTTCTGTATGCCACACTATGTAAAAACCTAGAAGAAATGAAGTAATGGTATGTAGACAAATACAAAAATTATTTCAATAAAATAGTATTTTATATTATTCATCTTTTGTGAGAGGGAATTTCTTCCTTATTGCATGGTATGCACATGCGGCAGTGGGATTCCTGTTTTTCGATTACACCTTGTAAACTTTCTGTATGCCACACTATGTAAAAACCTAGAAGAAATGAAGTAATGGTATGTAGACAAATGCAAAAACTTTCAATAAAGTAGTATTTTATATTACAAAGAACAACCCAATCTATATTGGCTATATATAGGAACTATACATACATATAGTTTCTGATTTTGGTTACACCAACATTTTTGAGATGTTGATGTGTATGGGAGACACTGGTCATGGAACAGTGTGCATCCCCATAAATATATCCCTGAAAGAGGATAAAGCTGTATATGTTGAACAGTCTGTTTAGTCTTTTACACAAATTTTAGAAACAATAAGACCCTTACCATTTATTCACTTTTGACCCAATGACCTATTTTAGCACGGCAGGGGCACATGAAGGATAAATCTTCATTGTTTCCAGCATGAGTTTGTCTCTTGTAGATCTCAAGTCCAACCACAAGCTTATTCTTTACTCTCTCATGCACAAAACATGAATTTTAATATCACATGAAAACAAGGCCATTGGGTCAAAAGTAAATAAACGGTAAGGTCTATTGAGTTTCAATATAGCTAGGGAACTCTCCCATTAATGCTTAGTAACATTGTCTGGTTTTTAGACAGAGTAAGATAAATATGAGTACATTATTGAGACACAGTGCAGCTTCCAACATTCCTCTCAATGGTCTATCATTATCTAAGTGAAATACCGGGTGGCCCAAAAAAAAGTACTCCTGTTTGATTCGTAATAACTTCTAAACAAGTAAAGTTTTTAAAGAGAAATAACTTGCATTAAATAGAGGAAGGACTAACTTAGATTTTGATATATTACAGTTGTATTTAACTTAAAAAT